CAGCACGGTGAGGCCCTGGCCACGGGCTTTCCCTGCTGCTGCCATCGGCCGGCCAGTGGGGGCGCAAAGCCAGGTAAGCATCCCTCCTTATGCCCAGACCCCTGCGCCCCAATCCTCCTCATTCCCCTCCCCCCACGGACACCCATATCTCCAGCTTGCACCTACACTCTGGCAGGAAGATGAGAGTGTCATGGACCAGATCCCCACTCCCTCCCCTTTGCCCATTTCCCGGATTCCCCACCCAGCCACCCTGACCCTAGCCTGTGCTGGCAATCCAACGTTGCACCCCTGCAAGACTGGAGCCAGCGCTGGCTTCCTGTGCAGGAGGTGGCGGAGCCCCGAGGCTCCAAACCGCAACCGGCTTCTGGGGAAACACACGTGCGCTGCGCCTCCTCTCCTCACAGAAAAAGCTGGAGTGGAGCCCAGGCAGGAGACCCAAGTGGGGTACGTGGTAGAGAGAGCCCCTCCCCCCTCCTGGGAGCGTGGCATGGCCCAGGGCAGGAAGGTTAAATCTTGGCTTCAGAAAGGTTGCTGACTCCTGCCTTCAAGTGTAAACGCTAGGGGTGGCAGTACAGTGGAATGTAACAGGAAAAGAATGCTGCCTAAACACAATAAGCTAAAGATGATGATGCTTTAGAAACCTTTTTTAGCATTTGGTCTTTTTAAAAATTGCAATGTACGCCTTTAACATTGCATTACTGTTGGCCACTCTTGCAGGATGCTAGAAACTGTGTGCATTCTCCATTTCCTTTTGCTGTCATTGTAAACTCTGGAATTCTCCCCAATGTAAACATTTTCCGTGTTGTGATTTGTATGGAGATATGTAGCATTATAATACACTTGGAAAGCCTCAGAGACACATGCGCCAGGGCAAGTTCTGTCCCACATTGGAACACGGTTCCATTTTCAGTCAGTCGGTTTGGGAACTGTTTCACTTCCTATAAGAGAGTCCCTCCCTCCCCCATTTCAGATGTCACTGGGCTGTTCTGGGTAACCTTTTCTGGAGGAAGGGAACTGGGGCAGCAGAGTTCCTTTGTGTAGGTGGAATTCTCTTCTATTCTTCTGACGCAGATTAGCAAGATTCTTGGACTATTTCTGTTGGCCTTAAAAGTGCAAGGCAGGGAGCAAAACAATCTGTGCCTGAAAACTAATCAGTCTCATTTTAATTTTCTTTCTTCTCCCTTCCCCTTCTGGATACATTTTTTAAAATACTCTGACTCCGTATCTACATAGCTGCCACAGTCCCCGAGCAGCGGACAGTGACGCTGGACGTGGATGTGAATAACCGCACTGACCGGTTGGAGTGGTGCAGCTGTTACTACCATGGCAATTTCTCGCTGAATGCTGCCTTTGAGATCAAATTGCACTGGATGGCAGTGACGGCAGCTGTTCTCTTTGACATGGTAAGGTCCTTGTGTCCTGGATGCTCTCAAACTGACGTAAGCGTGTGTGCTTTCCGGCATGCGCAGAGAAATTCAGCAGCTAGTGGGAAGCCAGTGAGAAGTAAAGTTTGTACCTTTTTTTTTGAAGGACAGTTTTTATTGGCTGTTGCCACTGCCGTGCCTGTGTGTTGCTGAGTTTGACAGCAATGACAAGAGACACTCCATCAGTGTGTTTAGTTATCCCATCTAGAGGATACACTCTCCTACTTCTAATGGGCTAAATTCACCCTGTGCAGAGGGCCAGCATGAAGTCAAGACGTCACTTTAAGCCCCACTCAAGCCAGTGTATAGACTTTGACCCTGTGCAGTTTCACCCAGTGTGCCTTGACATTTTAAAATGAAAAGCAGCAGGATAATTTTAATGGCACCCTTGCGCAATCAGCCTGTTGGCCCAGTTCAGAAAAGAGACTTTTTCAATAGCCCACTGAAAATCCCAAGGATAAAAATACAAGAAACTATACTCAACATTTGCAGTTTACTTCAGCATTGTTTCCAAGCGGCAGCCGTGTTAGTCTGTCTGCCAAAACAATGAGGAGTCCTGTGGCACCTTAAAGGCTGACATTTATTTGGGTATAAACTTTTGTGGGTAAAAACCATGCGTGTGACTGGTTTTTACCCATGAAAGCTTATGCCCAAATAAATATTAGTTGTTAAGGTGCCACAGACGCCTCATTGGGTTTTTTTCCCCATTATTTGGCAACTTCTTTATCAAGAGGCTGACATTTAAAAATCCTAGACTGTGTCAACCCCATTCTCAACCTTTTGACATTGGTCACATCCTCTCTTAAATGGACATTTTATTCCAGTTGAGCAGTTGTTGGCCATTCACTTTACTCTGGCTAAAACAGTTTATTTAGAAATAACCCATTTCAAGTGGATTCGTAAGAACGGCCATACTAGGTCAGACCAATGGTCCATCTAGCCCAGTGTCCTGTCTGCCGACAGTGGCCAATGCCAGATGCCCCAGAAGGAATGAACAGAACAGGCAATCGCTGAGTGAGTCATCCCCTGTTATCCATGCCTGGCTTCTGGCAGTCAGAGGCTAGGAACACTCAGAACACGGGTTGTACCCTGACCATCTTGGCTAATAGCCAATGAGAGACCTATTCTCAATGAACTTTTTTGAACCCACCTATCCTTTTGGCTTTCACATCATCCCTTGTGAAATAAGTTCCACAGGTTGCCTGCATGTTTTGTGGAGAAATTCTTCCCTTTGTTTTTAAACCTGCTGCTTATTAATTTATTTGGGTGACCTCTGTGTCTTGTAATTATGTAAAGAAGCACACAACACTTCCTGATTCACTTTCTACAAACTAGTCATTACTTTTATCATTTTTATTGTCCTTCTTTATAGCTTTTCCAATTCTATTGTATTTTTTTTTAAATGGAGCAACCAGAATAACACACAGTATTCAAGGTGTGGGCATGCCATAGATTTATATAGTGACATTACAATATTTTCTGTCTTTTAATCTGTTCCTTTCCTAATGTTTCCTAACATTTTAATGCTGAATATTGAGCAAATGTTTTCAGAGAACTATCTACAATAACGCCAACATCTTTCTTGAGTGGTAACAGCTAATTTATTTTGTATATATAGTTGGGATTAAGTTTTCCAATGTTCATTATTTTGCATTTATCAACTTTGAATTTCATTTACTATTTTGTTGCCCAGTCACCTGATTTTTCTAAGATCTCTTTGTAACTCCTTGCACTCTACTTTGGTTATAACGATCTTGAGTAGTTTTGTATAGTCTGCAGTTTTTTCCCCCCATGTCACTGTTTACTGCTTTTTCCAAATCATTTAGGAATATGTTGAACAGTACTGATCCTAGTACAGTTCCCAAGGGGATACCACTATTTACCTTTCTCCATTCTGGAAACTGACCATTTGTGTCTTTTTTTGAGGAGGGGGGATGGAGGTGGAGGGGTGTCTTTTAACCAGTTACCGAGCCATGAGAGGATCTTGCCTCTCATCCCATGACTAAATAATTTCTTTAAGAGCCTGTGGTGAGGAACCTTATCAAGATCTTTCTGAAAATCCAAGTATACTGTGTCCACTGGATCACCTTTGTCCATCTGTTTATTTGACACCTCCCCTCCCCCAAAAGAATTCTAATAGATTGGTGAGGCATAATTTCCCTTTACAAAAGCCTTGTTGATGTTTCACAACACATCATGTTCATCACTGTGTCAACCTAATCCTATAGGTTCGGTCAATTTGCCTGATATTGAAACTAGGCCGTTCTTACAGACCTGTATTTACCAGGATTGCCTCTGAAGCCTTTTTTTTTTTTTTTAATGTTGCGTTAGCTATCTGCAGTCATCTGGGATAGAAACTAATTTGAATGATAGGTTACATCCCTCACTTAGTAGCTCTGCAATTTCATGTTTGAGTTCCTTCAGAATACTTGGGTGAATGCCATCTGGTCCTGGTGACTTTTGTTGTTTAGCTTATCGGTTTGTTCCAAAAGCTCCTCTAATCTGGGACTGTTCCTCAGCTTTGTCACCTATAAAGAATGGCTCAGATTGGGAAACCTTCTTTTCATTGTCTGCAGTGAAGGTTGAGTGAAAGAATTTGTTCTGCTACTCTGCAACAAACTAATCTCATCTGATCTTTCTGATTTATGTGGCATGCCTCGAAAAATAAAATTCTGAAATCTTGTATTTCTGCTGCTTTGTTCATAAAGAAGGTTGCATGCTCAGTGTACACCGCAGGCAAATCCCCTTGGTAGTTGAGCTTGGCTGATTTGTTCTTGGTGAGACCAGTTGCTGTTAGGCACATAAATGCTTCTTTCCATGCAGTGATTCATTATTTGAATCCTTCACAGGTTCAGGGTTGGCATCGGAAAGCTACATCCTGCGGTTTCTTGCTGGTTCCTGTCCTGGAGGGTCCGTTTGCACTGCCTAGCTACCTATATGGAGACCCACTTCGAGCACAGTTGTTCATCCCACTCAATGTTAGCTGCTTGCTGAAGGAGGGCAGCGAACATCTGTTCGATGGTAAGAAATATACCCCAGCCAGCCGTGGGTACTTTATTGAAGGGAGACCTCTCGGGGGTGTGCAGGTAGCATGAAGAGTCCCACCTATAATGTGTCAGCTAGCTGGATAAGATGCCTGCCATTCCATTTCCTCACATCTACTGTTCAGGATACATCTCATTCAGCATGAGAGAAAGATGAAGAGGAAAGCTGTACTGCAGGGCATTGGGCCCACACCACTGCATCGGTATGAAGTGTGTGGTAGTGAGGGATGCCTGCCCACAGGCAGAGTTGTGTCTTTCATTTGCCTCTGTTACCTGAAAGCTCCTACAGAAATGACATCAGATATTTAATCCAACGGCTCCCATCCACCCCCCTAGCCTGTCTGCATTTGTGTCTTGCACGTGTTCGTTCCCAACTCTCTGCAATTACATTGGCCAGACTTCCATGGCTGGCATCCTCATTTTGTTGCCACGGCTACCTTCTGGGTAGGAATGTTGGCTCATGGGATTAAGTGCTAGGAACCACAATCCTGTATTGTTCATTGTGACCGCTCTCTTCCTAGTGACACTACAATGATAGGCCTCCACTGAGTGCCTTGTCCAGAGGTCAGAGAGCTTCATGAGTCCCAGCACAGAGTGATGCATCGTGCAGCTGGTGCAGAGCGATGATCTGGAAAGGAACACTCTACAGATTTTAAAAATTCATGTTATTGATTCAATTGTTCTTGCCCCCCAGTAATGCTTTTTTTCCTGGAGTCTGACTGTAAATGCAGACAGCGCAAGGAATACTCTGTGGGACAGGCTTAATGTGGTGATGCTCAAAATGCTGGTCACACTTATTTTTTTTCTAACCCCTCACTAAATATATATTCATGATTTGTACTTTGGGACTCATAGGGAGGGGTGAGTTGGCCTTAACCCCAGGCCTTTTCCCTTGCCAAAAACTAAATTGTGATTTCAGAGGGGTGACTGTATTACTCTGTGTTGGCAAAAACAATGAGGATCCTTGTAGCACCTTAAAGACCAACAAATTTAGGCATACACTTTTGTGGGCTGTAGCCCACTTCAGCCCATGAAAGCTTATGCCCAAATAAATTTTAGTCTTTAAAATGCCACAGGATTTCTCAGTGTTTTTGCTAAATTCTTACTGATGCTCAAAGGTGAGCAAGGTGGAAACACGGGATTCTTTTGATAGTATCACAAGAACTACAAATAGTGAAACCTCCTCTCCTAGCTTCTAGGCATCTTCCTTCCAGAGTCACAAAAGCCAAATCCAGGGCTGGGTCATGAATTAATTGGTGTTTAAAAACAAACAAACCTTCCCTTAATAGGATGCTGAGAGGATCCAAGGAGGTGGCTTAAAGGAATAGGGGGAAGCACACAGAGGAGGTGGACTGGGGAAACTTCTTCTGGGTTGGTAAAGATTAAATGGTTTCAGTTGACCTTTTGGTTCTTGTTTCAGGCTTTGAACCTGAAACTTATTGGGATCGCATGCATCTGCTCCAGGAAGCAATTGCACACAGGTATGCGCCGAACAGGGCAGATGAGTTAAATCCATCTTTGGTTGTTATGGTGGAATGTGGCGTAAAGCTCTAGTCTGATTTTTGGAGCTTGAAGGTAGTACTGTTAAACTTGAGCCCATGGGCTATGTGTCTTCCTGAAGTCCTCTGAAATATACCAACTCTGAGTATCTTGAAATGTACATTTGGCAGTGGGTGGGAAGGGGGTGGATAGAGCCCATGAGTAATCAGTATGTGGGGGGAACCTTGTCACTCTTAACAAACCCTACTGGGTGTCTTAGGTGTAACATTAGGTCTATTCTCTTAGGCTAGGAGCAGGTAAATTGTGGCATCTCTGAAAGAGACGGTCATGTCATCTCTCTTTGTACAGCACTTAGCACAATCCTGATCGGAATCTGAGTGATCTCTTAAGTGGCTGATAAGCGGGGGACTGGGATGTGACACCTGTAGTGGGGGAATGGGAAGAAGCCGAGGAGGCATGGATGGCATTCTTTTGAATGCTGCTCCATGAAAGAAGGGCCAATAAAGGTGTAGTTCACTGGAAGGCACAAATAAACTTCCCAGGGCTGTGCTGATCCTTCCCGCCTTTGGCTGGCTGAGTCACTTCCCCTGTCATGGGTCTTTACAAAGCCTTCAGTGTGGTCCCTGACTGGCAGTTGATTTCACAGTGCTTAACTCGAGCTCTCCCATGGTTCTTGGAATGGAACCTTCCGTGCTGGGGAATGTTTTTCTTCAGCTCAGTAACTAGGAGGGGGAGGTGATTCCCCAGGGCAGAACCAGTCAGCTGGCTAGAAGATCTCTGTGTGCAGTGCTGTCCAGCCTGACCAAGGAGTTCTTATAGCTTGATGCATCATACCAGAAGCTTTAACAGACTGCCAGAGAACAACCCACATTGGGTTACTGGTTCCCTTTTTTCCATACATAAGTGAGGAGAGAAACCAACCCAGCCCCCATGCTCGGGGAGGGGGAAAGAATTAGGGAGCCTGCAGATCCCTTCCTCCCCTCTTTGCTCTTGTCCTTTGGGCCATAAGGAGGATGTGCATATGTGCTGGGGAAAGAATTTTCCCCTTTCCTGTTCCATGACTTGTAGGAGTTCCAACAGGAATAGTCTCATTCTTTCTAGTGTTTTGTTTCCCCAGATTTGGATTTGTGCAAGATAAATACTCTGCCTCTGCATTCAACTTTCCCTCTGAGAACAAACCCCAGTACATCCATGTCACAGGTGAGCAATGCTTGGCAGGCAATAAGCCATGGTGGGGGGTGGGATATAGGCAAGGGAGAGCCATTCTTGCTCTCCTGGTTCTAGTGTTTGCTTTCAGTAGCGCTGATCTACTGGCAAATAGCTCTAGCAGCTGGGACAAAGGGTTCGTGTCAAACAAAGCAATGGAAAGACAAGCCATTTCCTAAAATAAGTACAGAGCATTTTCACTTTTATCACTAGTATAAAGCAGCAGGTTGAGTACCTGCTTTAAAGAGTCTCTGAGCCTTGTTACCTTGGCAGGTAGCAGTGAGGTTAGGAACATGCTAGGATCTAGATGTGACCACAGATTAAAACCCTGCCTGTTTCCCACAGGGACTGTTTCTCTACAGCTACCTTACTCCAAGCGGAAGTTTTCCTGTGGGCAGCAACGCCGGCGGCGCAACTCCACCAGCTCAACCAACCAGAACATGTTTTGTGAAGAGCGCATTGGTTACAATTGGGCCTACAACACCATGCTGACAAAAACATGGAGGTCCAGCGCCACAGGGGATGAGAAGTTTGCAGATCGATTGCTGAAAGACTTCACCGAGTTCTGCTGGAACAAAGATGGCCGGCTTGTTCTGTTCTGGACTGGCTGTCTGGATAAGATGCATGCCAGTGCACCATGAGATTGTGAGCGCATCTGCAGGAGAGAAAAGTAAAAGCTTGGCAGTGTGCTGAGGAAGAAGAGGCAGAGAGCAGCCAGTTTAGATCATTCTTAGTGTACATTTACCTTGTAACCCAGCATAATCTGATCAGTGTTTCTATTGATATTCAATAGAATCAGAAGGGGGTTTTGGGAAAAGAGATGAGGATTCTGTGCTGTATCTCACGACACTTCTTGTCACATCGGTACTCATTGCATGAACAGACATCCTACTTCCGAGAACTCAGCTAAACTGAGTGAAGGGAAGAGACCACAGGTGTGTCACAGGGATGAGAAATTCCCATAAATGTCTGTGCTCTTTGGAAATGACCAGGTGATGTAAGCCCAGGACTTGTCAGGGAAAATCATGCCTCATATCTCCTGTTTGTGTGTATATGTAAGATACAGTGTATACATTCGCCGCAAGTGTTTATATGTTTTAATATATTAAATAAAAATGCAGAATATCAAAAGGTGTGTTGTTTCTGCTGTAATTGAGGTATTGGTAAATAGAGCTCTGCATGAATAAAAAAAATTGTATTCTGATCTGCAAAAAACGTGATGTAGATATCAGCAGGGCTCAATAGGTGAAAGAAGTGATAGAGATGTAGCCGTGTTAGTCTGGGGTAGCTGAAGCAAAATGCAAAGTGCTACATTGTCCTGCATTTTGCTCTAGGTGAAAGAAGGAGAGTGCAGAAGATGAAGCCTTGCCGAAGAGAAATTGTTTAAGGCGCGCATAAAGCTTTAATGCTCATGAAAAGGTCACAATAACTTAAGATTTCAATTGAATTGAGTCTCTGCCCTTTTAAGCTTTCAGGACATGCTGTTCTGGGCTCTGGACCCAGAGATGTGTGTCATACTGCAAGATCAAGGAGTTATTTGCTGTCCTTCCCTTGCAGGCAGGAATCCAAGTCTTGCAACAAATCAATGACAGCTAAATATAAGATGCCAGGATCCAAGTCTAGCTAGCACGCAATGACAGGCAGCTAAATATAAGATGCCACTGATGAGAAAGGAGAAGGAAGATTGTGAACAGAAATGATAGAGACTTTTTGGGGCGAAAAGGCACACTTTTATTGAAACTATATGATTTTTCTAAGAACCATTGTTTGAGTGACTATCAGATGTCCGATAGTATTCATGTAGAAAAGACAGATTTTTAACATTTTTTTAAAGTTACTATTCATGTACCTTGTTCTCACCTACTTCATCAACTCTTGTTACTATTACTATGAAAAGCCCCAATTTTACCTACCCAATACCACTGCAAGTGTAACTAAGCTTTTTATTTTATTTTATTTTATTTTTTATTTTAATATGATCTCTCTGAAATGTCCTAAGTGCAAGGAATTTAGGGAGGGGGAGAAGAGAGCCACACTGAAATGTTTAATTACTAGTTTTATAAACAACCCTCTTTTTAAAATGAGAAAATCCCTAGCATGCCATATTTGTTGGTTTTTATCATTCAGAAACTATATGTCTGGACTATCGGCTCTACACTAGAACTGTTAGACTTTTAGGCTATGTCTACATTCGCGGGTTCTTGCACAAGAACATCTTGCGCAAGGGTTCTTGTGCAAGAACATGTCCACACTGCCATGTCCGAGATGTGCTTTTGTGCATGAGCGCCCAAGGCAGTGTGGACGCTCTCTTGCGCAAGAAAGCTCCGATGGCCATTTTAGCCATAGGGCTTTTTTGTGGAAGAAACCCCTGCAGCATGTCTACACTGCCCTCTTGCGCAAGAGCTATTGTGCAAGAGAACTTACCCTTATAAGAAAAGAGTGTAGCTCTTGCCCAAGAAGGGTGGACGGTGTGGACGCACTGCAAGTTCTTGCGCAAGAATCCACCAGTGTAGACATAGCCTTAGAGCCCTCAAACTGAGCTCTGAATGAATATGCTGCCCTATTTCTCTCTAACCTGGTATATCTACACTACAGAGAAGATCAAAGCTGTGGCTGATGATCTTCCAGGGTTGGAATTAGCAGGTCTAGTAAAGACATGCTAATTCGAACTGAAAGGGGTGTTCTGGTCAACACCAAGGCTACGTCTACACTGGCGCAATGCTGTTACGCTGATTATTTTCAGGAATAACAGCATTGTGCAAGAGGGCTTTTCTTGCGCAAGAAGGGGCAGTGTAGACAGTTCCTTGTGCAAGAGCCTCTTTCACAAAAATGGCGGCTCAGATATGCAAATGAGGTTCGGTGATATTCCGCACTTAGCCTCATTTGCATAGCTCTGGCATAAGATTGCGCGCTGATGATCTTCCAGGGTTGGAATTAGCAGGTCTAGTAAAGACATGCTAATTCGAACTGAAAGGGGTGTTCTGGGTGGACGCACTGCAAGTTCTTGCGCAAGAATCCACCAGTGTAGACATAGCCTTAGAGCCCTCAAACTGAGCTCTGAATGAATATGCTGCCCTATTTCTCTCTAACCTGGTATATCTACACTACAGAGAAGATCAAAGCTGTGGCTGATGATCTTCCAGGGTTGGAATTAGCAGGTCTAGTAAAGACATGCTAATTCGAACTGAAAGGGGTGTTCTGGTCAACACCAAGGCTACGTCTACACTGGCGCAATGCTGTTACGCTGATTATTTTCTGCGTCTAGACTGGCATGATTTTGCACAAAAGCAGCTGCTTTTGCTCAAAATCTTGCCGCCTGTCTACACTGGCCGTGAGTATTTGCGCAAGAACACTGACCTTGTACTGTACAAAATCAGTGGTTCTTGTGCAAATAGTGTGATGCTCCCACTCAGGGATAAGCCCTCTTGCGCAAGAGAACCAGTGTAGACAGCCACGTTAATTTCTTGCGCAAGAAAGCCTGATGGTTAAAATGGCCATCGGAGCTTTCTTGCGTAAGAAAGCGTCTACACTGCAACGGATGCTTTTGCGCAACAGCAAATCTTTTGTGCAAAGGCACATGCCAGTATAGACGCTCTCTTGTGCAAATACTTTTAACTGAAAAGTTTTTCTGTTAAAAGTATTTGTGCAAAATCATGCCAGTGTAGACTCAGCTGAGGAGTAAGAGAAATCAAAGGCAGAGTGTTTTCCCTTTGACTTCCTCTGGTCAGCAGAGCACCAGAAGTCGAGTTAGTGTACTTGGACTTCAGCTATGCAATTAAGGCAGCTGGAGTTGTGCATCTTAATTTGACTTAGTCCTGTAGCACAGACCTACCCAAGGGCTGTGTCTAGACTGGCCAGTTTTTCCAGAAAATCAGCCGCTTTTCCGGAAAAACTTGCCAGCTGTCTACACTGGCCGCTTGAATTTCCACAAAAGCACTGACTTCCTACTGTAAGAAATCAGTGCTTCTTGCGGAAATACTATTCTGCTCCCATTCAGACAAAAGTCCCTTTTGCGCAAAGCTTTTGCGCAAAAGAACCAGTGTAGACAGCTCAGATTTGCGCAAAAAAGCCCCGATTTAATGTCGATCGGGGCTTTTTTGCGCAAAAGCACGTCTAGATTGGCACAGACGTTTTTCCGCAAAAAGCGCCTTTGTGGAAAAGCACCCGTGCCAATCTAGACGCTCTGTTCCGCAAATGCTTTTAACGGAAAACTTTTCCGTTAAAAGCATTTCTGGGAAATCATGCCAATCTAGACGTAGCTATAGTGTTTTTCATGTAGCCCGGAGGGGGGGGGAGGGGTGTGTGTGTGTGTACACACGCTTTTCCCGGGCTGCCGGACTCCTTTTCGGTGTGAGGCTGCTGAGAGTCATGAACCAAAGTGCAACCCCCTTTGTGTCTAATGGCAACCACTTCAAGCCAGAAGACCCCCCTCCATTCCACACACACTTTCCAGTACCTGTGGCCGGGGCGCGGGGCTCTGGCCGGCACCTGTGACTCTTGGCTGGCCCCGTGGACCAGGGGGGAATTGCATCTGCGCCGGGCGGTAGCTGCTGCAGCGGGGGAGGGGATGGGGGCGTTTCCCGCGAACTTTGCGCTGGGGGGAGCGGAGCCCGGCCGGCGCCCAGGCAGCCCACGCGCGCTCACGGGAGGTACCGCGGCTCCGGGTTGCAACAGGGGCAGGGCTGGGGGGAGCAGGCTGCGGTGACCACCCCCCGGGAATGGAGGGGAGCCAGAGGTAACGGGAGTCTGGGGGCTGCAGTGAAGGAAGGGGGGTTACTGGGGTCCCCCCCGTGTGGGCAGCAGCAGCACCCCTTCTGCCGGCCCTGGAAAAGCGTCTGGAAAAGCGACTTTCCCCGGGCTGGTCAGACCCTTCCACACACCTTGGTGGGCGCCTGCCTGGGTGCAGCGTAACAACCCCCTTGCTGTTATGGGCCCAGCCCCTCCACCGGCCTCCCTGGCGCCGATCCTCATAGGGCCCTGGTGTGGGATGGGGGGTGGGAGGGAGGCGATGAGTTACCCTGGTAAGAAGCAAAGTTTGGGGTTTTTAAAGCCGCATTTGTCTTTAATTGACATCAGGTGTGAAAATCTGCTAGTCTCCACCTTAGGTGGAGTCTCCTCCCCTCATCCCCACACCACTGTTTCACAGTTTTGACCATCTGCAAAAAAAAAAATGCAAATTCAGACGTGAATGGCTGTGGACTTTTGTCAGACGGCTTCTTCCTCCCCCTCCTCACCTGTAATTTTTTTAATGATGCCTTTTTTTGGTTTTGGTGTTGTATTTTAATTTTGATCTATGGTTTGGCGGAATTCTCTTTAGGGTGACTTGTCCAAAACCACCTGGGGTCGACTGTGGTTGTCTGATGATGAAGTGTTTGCCCCGTTGGGTTTTTTTTTTTAAGCCAAAACAAATTACTGAAATGAACTAGTTGTATGGCTATTACTTGTCCCTACCTCATGGACATGCTGCTGAGCCACTCCCCGTTTAAAATTCCAGTGCATGTTGCAGGCCTGATGCAGTGCTCCTCAGTGGAGTCAGTGGAGAGATTCCTATTGACTTCAGACAGGAGCAAACCCCACACCCACTGATTTGAGGTTGAGAATGAAAATGAAAACAGGGTCTCCCAATTCAAAACCACTATAAATGCAAGAAGGGCTTTGTCCTCATTGGAGAAAAGAGAAGTGCATTTTTAACCCATGTTAAGCTAACCTGCGTTGATCTTGGTGAAGACCATGTTGTAACTAGTCCAGGTAAACTCTACAGTAGAATTTCTTAATCTTCAAGTAATAGATTTAAAAATAAAAGATAATACTAGTACTAAGCAGCCAAATAAAGGCACAATTAACAAACAGGGGGAGGGAAGAAGAAGATTGATTGATGGGCCAGTGATTAAACACTATCCTGCTAATGTGTGTTTAAAATTTACAACTGCTTTGTCTTCACTCAGGTTTTAATCCAGATTATTTAACAAGTTTAAAAATACATCATTTTTCTTGTCAAGAAAAGGCTTACGGCATTGTCACTGTGTGCTTACATCAATGTTGCTATCTCAGGCTACATCTGTACCGGCAGCTTCTTGCACAAGTAAAAACTTGCCGGGTGTCTACACTGCACGCGCATTCTTGCGCAAGTAAATTTACAGTCTAGCGTTGGAAAACAGGGCTTCTTCCGGAAGAGTTTTTCTTCTCCCCACTTGCACAAGAGGCCAGTGTAGACAGGCAACATGAATTTCTAGCACAAGAAACTCCTATGGCTAAAATGGCCATCAGGGCTTTCTTGCACAAGAAAGCGTCCACACTGCCATAGACGTTCTTGTGCAAAAGCACATCTCTTGCACAAAAGCACATGGCAGTGTAGACACGCTCTTGTGGAAGACTTTTTGCACAAGAACTCTTCCGCAAAACAGTTCTTGCACAAGAAGCTGCCAGTGTAGACGTAGCCTCAGTGTAAAATCCTAGTAAAGATCAAACACTGAAATTTTCACTCCAGTTAAACCAGAGATCCACCCCAGCTAGCTAAATGGAGGGAAAAAATTCCTGTGCCTTGTCTCCACCTAGGATTATATGTCTTGATGCAAAAACAACTTCTATGCAGAGCAGACAAAGCATGAGAGTCAAACAACTTGCCCATGTGGTCTAATCTGTTTAGCTGAACTCTCAGGCACTCCGCCAGTTACAGTCTATTCTCTGCTTCAAGACGAGCGTATTTGGCTAATTCTGTAGATACTCCTTCCAAAAGCCCTTATGCACAGCAGTTACCACTAGATGGCATTTACAAAAATGCCAATGATCAGCTGCAGGTTGTATGTTTCTGAAATTTATTGCACAGTGGAATTTTAAATGTTTCAGGTCAGTGGGCAGTTAAATAACTTGATCTCACCTCTCCAGACTAAGCTTCTGATTATCCCATTTTGCTGGATAATTAGATTTTGCACAACCTGGACTGTGGTTATAATTATGTAGCAGCCTAAATGTTTTGGGGAAGGAGCATTTTTGTAAATGGTTATTTTACGGATCCCACGTATTGCTATGTTTAACTTTTACTGATGCTCTGTATTTCAGGAATAAAGGGCTCTTGTTTTTTAAGTTTAATGGTTGATGATGGGAAAACAAAGTTTTCCACTGTCCAGTCTCTTGGGATAAGTCATGGCACCTGTCTGTGCCTCAGTTTTACCACTTGCAAACCTGGAATGTTTCTTGTCTAGCAGGATGATTGAGAGGCTTAATTACACTTTGTAATTTGAGAAACTTGGGTAAAAAGTTCTACTGAAATGCAGTTAAGTACTTTAACATATAGTGTAAAATAGAATTAGAAGGTTGCAATGTGTCTTGATGGGAAGGGGAGTGTTTGTCTAGCAGCACAAACAACAGATGCTCTTCCTTTGTCACATAGAAGACGTGCCTGGAGGAATGTAAACATGAAACGGTTCATGGCGCTGCTAAATAAGAATAAAAACAAGGATCCTCCACAGGTCAAGCTGCTGGATCTAGCAGGCCAACTCTGCCACAGTCTTCAGAGCATGTCTCCCAGCCTGGAGAAGCTGGTTGAGGCAATGACGGGGTGCAAGCTTCAGGAATATTTTCTCACCCACATCAGTGTAGTCCGAGCTTTTGTGCTTGTCCATGTCCGCCGAGGGCAGCATGACACAGCCTGCAGGCTTTTGGAGGTAGGACTGTGTTCTTGGTCACTTCTTCAGTGAAACAACAAGGAGACCAGCAGCGGTACCAGACAACACATAATAACAGACATGTCAGGGGTCAGAACTTTAGTGCTTACAGCAGGGACAAGTAGGAGACTAGCCTGATGAGGTCCTGCAGACGCTTGGGGAGAGGAGGAGTAGACGGTGCTGAGCTCTGTAGGGGGATCACAGGCAAAACATCTGTTGGTAACAGAAAGCAGTTTTTGGAATGTAACAGTCTCCAGGCACCCACTTCTGCCCTTGACTGCACCAGTTAGGATCCTTCTTGTGCTGCAAGCACACCATGTCCTTCAGTGCCTGGCTGGTTGGGTCCTGCATGCTTCTCCCCTTGTGAGATTGAAACCCTGGGTGGGAGGGTGTGAAGAAGCTTGGGCTGCCAGTGTCCGTCTTGTGGAGAGAAGAGACTTCACTCTCCAGAGCTTTTAGCTTAGGATGTTTTACCAGGTCTAAACTCATGGGCTTTTAAAAAAGCCACAGGTGCATAACCGGGACTTTTTCTTGCACATGGTGCCCTGTGCAGGCGTGAGAAGTAGCCCTGAGTCGTGCAAAAGACTCATACTTTTGGGGAAGGCTACCAGCTGAGCCCATCCAGTGTGAATCCCTTTTGGGACATTTCTGGGTGCTCAGGATTTCCCCCCCCCCTTTCTTTGTGAAAGACAATGATTGGCTTTCTGGAAAGGGTGTGTTCAGCCCCACCCCTGTCTTAGCATTGCAGGGCAAAAGAAAAGAAGGAACTGGTGCAACTATGGAATGAGATCCACTACCACAAAGTCATGGAGAAACACCACACAGATTCCCTGACACCAGTGCAGAAATTCCGGTGCAGGAAGAGGTACGTTTGGAGTGGGACGATCTGGTGCTCTTCCTTCACCATGATTTGGGGGTGTGGGGCATGGAAATGAAAAGGTTGTATTCACATCCTAAAATAGACTTTTCTTGGGGAACAGGATTCACTGTTAACGTCAAGCTTTGGCCTACTTGCAATAAACAGCTGAACTTTCACTGAGTTTAATAGTGCAGTTTTGGGACTTTGGTAATCAAATTTTCTTTATTTGTGTAGGAATCCTCCACCAGTTTCCATCTGTCCTGAAGGCATAAGGAATCGAAACTATCCAGAAAACGTGCGCCAAGAGCTGCACAGATTTGCTGCAAAGGTGACAATGAATCCAAACAAGGACCAGCGGGTATGGATGCTGTATGCCACAGTGTTACTCAGGCTGGGGAAATACTGTAACCTAGGATACATAAATGTTTCCAATCCAACCTATTGCTTTAGCTACTTTTGGACTGAAGTTTCTTGTGTTTGATCTTTGCCCTAGAGGGTGTGCATTTTAATTTTTGTTAACCTTAAGCAAAAGAAATTCAGTAGTTCTGTTGACCAAGAGATGGGGGAAACTGTTTTCCCTGTTTTAATAGTGGTAACCGCTCTAGTGTTGAAATGGATAAATGAGATTTAGCAGAGACATTGATCTCAGTGAAAAGCACCGTGAGGCTATGTCTACACTGCACAGTTATTTCGGAATAAACCATTCCAGAATAGTTATTCGGAAATAGCTTATTTCTAAATAGCATGTCTACACCGCAGGGAAGCCTCAAAATAAGTCAAAGGCAGGCTTCCCAAATGTAGATGTGCTATCTCGATTTAAAGAACCCCAGAAGGAATAACTTAGAATGTCCCTGGTGAGAGGCTATTTTGGAACAGCAGAAGTGGAGCATCTATACACGCATTATTTTGAAATAGCTATTTCGGAAGAGGCGTTATTCCTTGTAGAATGAATTTATAGAAATTGGAATAAGCCATCTGTTATTTCGAAATTATTTAGAATTAACAGAATTGCTGTGTAGATGCTCGCATAATGGCCGTTATTCCAAAATAACTTTGTTGTGTAGACACACCCCAAGTGTTCTGATAGTAAAAGTGCACTGAGTTTTTTTGCTAGACTTGTAAAGTTTACAGCCCAGTCAGGGCCGGCCCGAGCCCTAAGTGGCACCCCCCGGGCGCTCAGCGCATGTGCGGCCCCGCCTGGGGCGTGCGGCACATGCATGGTCCTGCCCCCGGGCGCGCAGCACATACATTGCTCCACCCCCAGAGGCCTGGCGCATGTGTGGCACCACCCCTGGTACGCGGAGCATGCGCAATGTCGCCCCTGCCTGGCCCAGCAGCCCGCACGGTGCCCCCTACAATGGGGCGCCCCGGGCGGTAGCCCAGTCAGCCCGTACCTTGGGCCAGCTCTGAGCCCAGGTTGTCAGCCTGTGCATTTAGCTTAGTAGGAAAGTCCGAGATGAAAGTGGCCCCTGAAGGAACCAGGACTTGGCAGAACTTCTTGTCTGATTCACTATTTTAAAAGGTAAAAATGCAACATTCCTAAAATTTTCCATCCAGAGGCTGTCTCCTGCAAGCCCCCAAAGCAGGGATGGGCAATAATTTTAGAAGGGGGGGGGCACTTTACAAATTTTTGAAGTGGCCCCAGGCTGCCCCAGAAGCCCAGGGGTGGGGGCAACATGTGAAGTCTTTGCCTGCACCTCGCACCTACAGAGAACTGCCAGCTGTTCTGGTGGTTCTTTCTAGATGCTACACACCTCTGGTGGCGGGAGGAGACTTCATGCGCTCCCCCAGAGCAATAAGGCTCTGGGGGCAGGGGAGTGCATGAAATCTGTCACTCTGTGCCCCACCCTGCAAGGGGCACATGGCACGTAGAGTGAACCGCCAGGTGTTCTGAACAATGGTGGTTCCTGCTAAGTGCTGTGCACTTCTTGCAGGGCAGGAGGAGATTTTGCACGTTCCCCCCACTCCCAGGCCAATCAGGACCCAGGAGTGTGGGAGAGCGCGAAGTCTCTCATCCCTTGCTTTCGCTCTGCAAGGGGTGCATGGTGCCTAGAGTGAACCGCTAGCTGCCACACGGCTCTTGGTGTGGGGGGAGACTTTGCATGCTCTCGACTGGCTCCCAGCCGTGGTGGGGGAAGGCAATCCAGCCCCCTTCCCGTCCAATCAATTAACTGATTAAACCAACCAAAGACTAAATTATTAAGCTAGGTATTGGAGAGAGAGAGGAAAATCTATTATATAAATAGCCAGCATCAATAAAGAAGGGTTCACTGTCACGACAGGATAGTCAGTTTAAAACAAGGAGGTCATGACCCCTCAAGGAGCCACAAGGTTATTATGTGGGGGAGGTTGAAAGCTGCCAGCCTCTGTCCCCAAACCCAGTTTCCCCTCTAGCATTTTAGAATAGTGTTAAATATTTAAAATGTGGTTTTAGTTTATAAAGGGAATGTCACATTCAGAGGCTTGCTATGTAAAAGGGGTTGCCTACAGAAAAGTTTGAGAACTGCTGGTTTAGAAGTATGAAACTGCAAGATGCTACTCATGTATCTAACTAACACAGAAAAATATTAACAAAGAAATATATGATCATTTAATAAAAAATTATAATAATGAATATATACAAGGGAGAAGAGTAAAGGTTACATGTGCTACCTCAACTGTGGCAGTTCTGAAATTTTGATTGCTTTAAGTCAAAAGTTATGTTAATTCAGCTAATGTAATACGCAAGAGGTGTTAAAGACCGGTCATCGATTTTTTTTTTAAGGCCAGAATGGACAATTATGATATTTGATGGCCTGTCTTATGCTGGCTAATATTTTTCCCAGAGATTCCTGCACTGAGCAAAATAATTTCTGTTCCAGTGGTAAATTGCCTTCGTTTTTTAAAATGTGTTTTTCCCCGTTCGGTGGTTATTTATATCAGCTACATTGCAAATAGGGCAAAAACCCATTGGGATTCTTGGGGTTCCCTTTCTCAAATAGGACATCAAAGAAAAATTAACTGTTGCTGTTCGCTTCCACTTTATGAGCAGATCAATAGGTGGGAGCTATGCGTGTTCTAAAGGGACCTGCAGGAGGGTCTGGAACAGGGCTGGGCAAGATGTGATACAGGGACCAGATTTGGCCTGCCTAACACTTTGATCTGGCCTATGGACTGCATCTTGCTGCTTTCTATTTATATCCCACTGACCATGCCACCGAATTTCCAGCTGGTGGCTCAGGCAGCAAGGGCCAGAGTCACAAGCTCTTTAAATAGGTACAGGAACCTCAGGCAATATGGTAGCAGCCGGGCCAGGAGCCGCAAGCTCTTTGCTGTATTTTTAATTCAAAGCCTCTGGCCCCAGACATATCTGGGGGGAGGCTAGTCCCTAGCCCTGTCCTTTTGCCCAAGCCACTCCCCTTCTGGGGAGCCAGCCCATGGCCACATACCAATATTCATTAAGTACCTGCCCCCCTCCAAAAATAATAGCCCACACCCAAGCTGGAAGCTCATATTGTCTGATTGTTTTTGGAAACTGGAGGGATGAGCATGATTATTTGCATGTGGTGTATTCTTTTCCCCCTGGTTATCTGGATTCGCAGGAGGGTTTGGCCCGGGATATGAACCTGCAGCCAAATCAGGTTTATAACTGGTTTGCCAATTACCGTCGTCGTCAAAAAATCCGGCTGGAAAAGTTCATCTGCTCGACCAAGGAGAAGCCTTCAACTCCCCAAACAGAACATCAGTGCAATGGCAGCTCCTGCATTCCACAAGCTGCAGGTGGGTCTCATCCCTGTGGACTTGGGCGGGGCCGGCTCGAGCCATTCCTGTGGTCTGGACAGCAGGCGTGCGACGCATGCGCGGCTCTGCCCCCGGGCGTACGGCGCATCTGCGGCCCCACCTCCTGGTGCGTTGCGCACCTCACAGCTGCTATCGGGCGCATGGCGCCTGATGGCAGGGGGGCCCCGGGCGCATGGCGTCCTTTACAGCTGCCATCAGCCACCCCCCATAGGTTGGCGCCCCAGGCAGCTGCCCAGTTAGCCCCCCCCCTTAATCCGGCTCTGGGCTTGGGATGTAGTCTGGGGAGATAGAAGGTTGTTTTAGGGTTCCCGACAGAGAGGCGCTATTAGCTGCGCCTGCTTCCTTGGGATCAGTAACTCAGCACCATTGAATCAAGCAGATGTGGTAGGGTGATGTTGTGGGACACAGGACTCCTCTTTGCATTATTAGTCATCACTGTGTGGCTATCAGGAGTTTGTATCGAAGTCCCCTCTTCCCCGCAATGAGAGCAGCACTCTGTTCTCCAGGGGCAGCCTTGCTGACTCAATAGGTCTCACAAAGGTTGTAGCAGAGTTGCTCCCTACTGCTGCATCCCACCGTGACCATAGTAGACCCTATTCTGCGGAGGGTATCGCTGGTGTCGTCACAGTGGACAGTGCTCATGCCTTGATGAAGTTGACATCTGGTTCCCTCCAACCCCACGCCCCCATGAATGCTCCATCCAACCCCACACCCCACTTCCCCAGCATCTTGCCCTTCCCCAGCCTGGCAAGTGAAAACCTGAAGATTGCGCCTGTGTCTCTCGTTCTACCAAATGCCTGACTAAGGCTGGACTAGGTGCACTGCACCCTCTGGGTCGTGAATACTAAGAGTTGCTAGCAATACAATAAAGCTTTATAAGTTGAGGAATCCCACTCCTCAGGCTAATACAAGGGGTAGCCCAGTGCAAACATAGGACTCTGGGCCCATAGTTCACTCCAGCAAAACTCCGTACAAAATCTGAGCATTTCTACTGCACCCTTCCAAGATCAGAACCAGAACTCAGTCGTCAATGACAACAGGGAGAGCCTGGTAGCACCAACACGTTTCCTTTTGGAGTCACAACCATACTGACCTTAGGGTGCCCAGGAATATTGCGCTATGTTTTTCAGATGCATTCCGTACCGACGGTGTCTCGGAGAAGAAAGAGATGAACCTTGTGACCTGTGAGCCAGGGTGGGAGCTGTTAGCTCCGGGTCCCGACAATTCTGCTGACGGGACCTTTTCAAAGTTGCTGGAATCCAGGTGACACAGGGAGAGTCTGTTATAGCTGAAGTGAGGTGACTGTATGACTTAGGCACCTCCCTCTTGGGGCCCTTATTTGCATCAGGCTGTTAGTTCCCAGTGAGAACAGTTAGGAGTCTTGGCCCCTTTCATAGATGGGGGTGATCAGTATCCAAAACCAGCTTTGGCCATTCTGAGCAGGGGGTGCAGACTCCCAACCCCCTGGACTGGTGCTTGGGGGTCAGTTGTCAGGGACGCCTTTCCAGGAAAGAGGTGGCCGAAGGGGGGGAAGTACTATAGGTACCAAGCAGCTGTTTCTCCTGTGAAGAGATGATGGTGCTCTTTGTAGAGCAATACAGTCACACTTCTCATTCACTGCATCCCTGTAGCTTTCTGCAGAGCAGTGAGTTCCAGGAGATGAGCTCAGCGAAAACTTCAGTGACCCCTCTCAACAGAGAAGAGCCTACGGCTATCTGCACTGAGGCTGGGTGTGGGATACACCTTAGCTCTGCCATCCCGGAGACCAGACAGACATCAGATTACGCTGTCACGAGCCCCTGTCTGGAGAATTTGCTCCCGTGTTCCCACGAGTCGCTTCCCCTCCAAACTGAACATCTGGACGGAAGGCAGCCAACTCCCAGTGCAGAAGGAGTCTCGGGCGAGAGCAGCTGTCCCTCCTTGTGGAGTCCTGATGCAGCAGGTTAGTGGAACTGCCTTCTGTTGGGAGTTCTCATTGGTTTGAAAACTCTTTTTGGGTTTTTTTTACTTAGACCTTTTTGCCTCCACAGACCCCAGCCTCCCACCTGTGCCAGGCAGGGAAGCTGGGCTTCACCTGAACTCCTGGGTCCCACTCCTGACAGGTCAGGAAATAGGTCTGAAAATCTAGATCACTGGACTTGACCAGGGTTTATTTTTACCCCTGTACCAGGCTCAGGCTGCAAGCCCTTTGGCCAATTCTGAGAGACTGTACTTACTTCTTAGCTACTCCTCTGGCCAGCTCCCTTCAGTAGTTTGTTGTTCATCTTACTTGGCTGCTGGCTTTTAAGTATTTAAACTCCCATGGTTCTCAGCAGCTGAGTGCTGCTAGCTCTGGCTAGGCCGTCCCTGTCAGCAGGCACTCACCAAAGTTCCCTCTAAGCTTGCAACTGCTTAATGAGCCCCGCCAGGGGCTCAGGGCTGTCATGCACAGAGCTGCCTAGCTAGGGGAGGGGCTAGCTCCTTGCTGGAGACAGAGGGCAAAGTGTCTCTCCTCCAGCCAGGCAGCTCTGTGCGCAGCAGCAGATCTGAGCCTGTGGGTGGGGCTCATTAAGCAGCTATGGGGCCGTGCTGCCACGCAGCTTAGGGGAAACCTTGGCACTCACTTCCTGGATCCTCACTTCCTCTTCTCCCTTCTTTTGCTCCTCGTCTGTCCCCCCCGTAACGGGCCCGCACTGAGCCCGGAAGGACTCCCCCCACTCTCCCAGCATGGTGGCGGGGCAGCAGCACACCGGAGAGCGGCGGCTGGTGCGCCAGGCCTATCAAGGCTGGCACAGAGCCCGGCGTGGCTCCAGCAGCCCAGCCGAAAAAGGGGCGGGGGCAAGCAGCACCGGGGAAAGGCCGCTTTCAGCCGGCCGCGC